ATATATATATATACTGTATATGCAGCTGAAAGAGAGAGGCTGAATGTAAAAATTAGAGAAGCAGGAGGAGAATGGAGTTTAAAAGGAACTTTGTGAACAGATGAGAACAAAGAGGAAATCAGTATTATCAGAAAAGCGTTGTTTTTATATTTACAAAATATCAAATTAAAACAGAATTTATTAGGTGGATGCTGTGAAGTTACACACTCATGTACAGTAGGTGGCGGTATGCGCCTCCAAACTGCGATCTGACAAGAAAAAGAAGAAGAAGAACAGGAAGTAGCCGTTCCTTCTGTTAGCAATAATTAGCGTAACGAAACTTACCGTCGTATTGGAAAACGTCACCCATTTGGTAATCTATGACACTTTTTACTTTTATTTACTAGTTGTTTATCATAAAGTGTGTCGTATTTTGTGTGACAGAAAAGCCGTCAGTGAAAGTGTTGCTTTTCGTTGAGAGTAGCTAAGCTAATTCTTAGCTAATGCTAATTTAACTGTTGTACTTTGTCCCACAATGGAAACAAGTGTTTTCCCTTTCTTGTGTTATCCATTTATAATAGGTGTGCTGTGTATATATTTATTAAATTAACCAAACTAACCATGTACTGATTAAACCTGAAAAATGAATGATCCGTGAAATTAACGGACATTTTAGTAGTCGTAAATTTTTTGAGGGTTATTCTTTTATGTTTTTATGGTTTGAAGTGGTAAATCAACAAATACAATAGAACTTAAAGATGCTATTTAAGCCAGCGAGATGCTTTCATTTGATACAAGTTGTGTGATAATAGTTAACTGTATTAACACCATTTTGATTTGAAGTTTTTTCTTTACCCGGGACCAAATTAGCATGTGGAGTACAAGAACTACAAGCACTGATCAGCAACAAGAAACGATAAGTTGAAAAGCAGCAATGATATTCAGTATGTCACATTAGACAAGACCAATCGAGACACAATAAACACAGATTAAGCACATTAGACAATGGTAGAAATAACTAAGTGATGCATGTGGACATATACTGAATGTAGGCAATCAAATTAAAAAGTGGTGTAAGATGACAAAAATGCCTAAACTAATTATCAAGCTGTGGCAGATAAGTAAGAAAATGCAAAGCTACACAGAAGAAGAGATGTAACAACATAAATTATCCATATTTTCATAACTGTGTATCCAGCTTATACAGTATTCTGGTTTTTTTAGTAGGGTGAGTAGTGACGCTTCCTGTTTCCAGTAACTTCTTGTTATTAGAATCTGGCCTTTTCACTGTTGTTTTTGCTTTCTTTCTTTTGTTTTATTATTTTGTCTTGACAGAGAAAAGGCTTTTAAAGGTTGTTTCATGGATTCCCCTCAGCAGTCCAAGAAAACAAACCTAAATCGAGAGGCCAAACGCAATCAGAACCAGTCGAGCGCCTCTCCACAAAAAACTGCATATGCCAGGCTCCTCAGCCAGCACCGCAGTAGTAAGTTCACGTTGTATCTTGAAGAATATGCAGCGCATTTGTCATCCCAACAAGGAGGAAATGCTTTCAACCCAGTGGTGCAAGCCCATAGCTGTAGGCCTAATAAAACACAACCAAAAAAGGACCAAATGCTTATGAATGTTTGTGATCCAGGTGACTTCTCTCCATCCTCTTTGAACAACAAAAGAGAGGAGAGTTCGTTGTATTTATACATGGAGAAAATAAGTGCTCGTGATGTTCAGCAGGAGTGTGAAAGGAAGCAAGGTGTGTCTGAGCTGCAGCGACGAGGACAGAGAAGGGACACCGCCACTAGTCAGGACGGAGATATTGAGTCCGGAGAGGAGATTGGTCCTTCAAAAGCGATCAGCACGAAGAAATATCAGAAGCAGCAAAGGAAAAAAGAGGTTTCTAACAGTATTGTTGCCTCCAAAGAGGCTGAGGCATTTGTTGAGTTATCCCAGTCCCCAGTGAAAGTTAGTACAAAAACACAGGAGCAAGAAAAGATGAAGAAGTTGAAGAACAAAGCAGAACACCCCGAAGGCGAGCAATGCAGAGCGGCTAAAACTAAATTAAATTGTGGGGTTGATCAGCAGACATCAAGGCCCAAACCCCTTCACAATAAAGACAAGAAACTTCAGCCACCACCAGGTCAGTTACAGAGGACTGCTTTTTTTATCATTATTCTCATAACAACAAAAGTATATACATTTATGAGATGGTTTAAAACTCTGCACATGCTCATTAATCCACTGACTTTTATCTTTTCCAGCTTCAAAAACAAATTCTCAGGCTAACAACAAAGGAGAGAATAAAACAAAGAAACAGGTATTTGAAACCTACATGAGCTTTGAGGAGGTTTCCCAGGGTCTCAAAAGAGGGGAGCTCCTTCAGGTATGATCCAAACACTGAAACATGATCTTTATGTGTCCTTGTGTGAACAGTTAATGTGTTACTAGGCCATAGAAGGCTTTTGCTATGCAAAATATCTCTACATAATGCTTTATCATTGTTGAATTAATATTTATACATTGATTATTTTGTGTTTTTCTCTGCAGGGACAATTAAGAATCAATCCTAAGAATTACACCGAAGCTTTCATTCCCTCTCCTGTAAGCGAATACAAAATATTTTCAAAGCCTTAGTCTAAACCCAGCTTACAAGTGTTTGTAAAATAAATGTCTTGTTCAAATCCATCTTGTTAAAATTGTTTGAATCATTAAAGACCAATAGAAAACTTATTTCTTAATTTCATTTTCATAGGATGACAAACATGATATTTTCCTGGATGGTGTTGTTGCTCGCAACAGAGCATTCAATGGAGACATAGTAGTGGTTCGAATGCTACCGCGGGAGCAGTGGAAGGTAAACACTTATTTATAAGCATCAACAAACACATTTTATATGTGTGTGTGTG